TAAGCGCCGGTGCACACTTGCGGCAATCGCCGCTGCGGCACCGCAATTGCGGCTTAAAGTACTAACAGGTAAATGGGTTAATGCACATTCATCTGCGCGCCGCCGCGGGGCCGCGCGTCCAAATGGCGACCGTTTTGAACCGCAGGTCCCTACGGAACCGTGGCGGCACCGCTGCCGCTATTGCGGTTTTGTAGTACTCGTTTGTATATCGGCTGGTACACACTTGCGGCAAATTGACGCAAAAAAGGATGGCTGCTACTAGAACTTCTGAAGATTTGGATATAGAATTATTCATTGATGCAGTAAAGGGGTTGGTTCCCAGAGATATGGGATATTTCCTCAGAAATATACCTATACCATGAAAGAGTCAAAAACAGGTCTGCATGGATTATAATCTGTGAAATGTTTTCCGATGGATTTTTGGAGCTGGATGACAAGGAGAAAACATTTCTAGTGGGATTATGGAGACTCTTAATCTGGTATCTTTTGCGATCTTATCCTATCAGAAACTTTTGCTGTTAATTCATCAGATGAAGCAACACTCCTTCGAAAGTAGTTGAAAAATTAGTCAGGATTCTCCCTTAAATACGAAAACGACGTTACAAATGTGCCCCTCGTAAGCCGTAAATCGGTATATGGGTCTACCCAAAATATTCTCGTTTCTTTTTTTCGATCAATAACGCATTTGTACACCAAATACGTAAAAACTGCACGCCTTTCATTAATAAAAACTTCCATTTTGCACTGTTCAACTTGTCGCACTGACTGATTTTCTTTAAAAACGAATGACACTGTATTAGATATACATTTTTATTACTTCTGCGGCACCGCAATAAAACCGCAAAAATATCAACAAGTGTGCGTCAAACTTTGCGGACCCGCGGCGGCAAACTGTCGCAAGTGTGCACCGGCACTTAATCCCCGATATGCCGCAGAAGAATTTGACATCATCGTTAACCCTCCGGAGTAAGAACCACACAGCACAACCAGGACAGGGCTTATTCGACGACTTGGTGTTTCACAGGAAGAACGCACCAAACAACTTCTCCAAAAAGAAGAACTTGACGATCGCATACCCTCGCAGTTCCTGCGTCATCTTTGTAGGTGTCACTATCTTCTACGAACCATATGGTTTGGTCGCCTCTCAACCCACATTCGGCCGATCCTTGCCGCAATGAAAGACAAGACTCTGGATGACGTTGCAGAAATTTCCGACATCATTGAATCGGTCCACGGACACACTATAGTCAGTGCAACCCCCAATAACGGTCCCACAATACACAATCTGGTAGATAAGGTCAACTCCCTCAAAATGGACCTTAGAACAAACAGTCAGTGTTATTATCACCGGAGATTCAAAGACAAATCTCTCAGGTGTGCCCCTCCATGTTTAATGCGGTCGGAAAACTGTATATAATATAACTTTTAGCTTTCAATATTGAAAAATGTATTTTCAATTATTTGATCGATTCCGTTTTATGTGTACATCTGGTTTTTATTAGTTAACATAAAAGAGCGTCTTCTATTATAAGTTTATAAATAATGTGTAAATTCCAAAAAGAAAGGAGCGAGCGTGTATTAGTGTACACGTGTAAGAAGTGAGGTTTTTTTAGATTGTTTCTTATACTAGTATTTTTCAAAAAAAAAAAAGGGAACGAATGTAGAATATTGGTTTAGTTTTGTCAAAAACTTTTACGCTTGCACCATACAAAACTGCAGAGGTATTAGAAATCAAAACAAAAACAAACGCATAATACAATACATATACAGTACAGGCGCGATCTGCTGAAAATTTATTGAAATGGCAATTTTCGGATTATCGGTTGCTACTAACAGGCTAACTTCTGAATCCTGTTAAAATAACTCTTTTTGGACATAACCGNATTTCAAGAAATTAACAAAAAAAAAAACGATTAGTTTACTACACTAGTAGAGCGAGTGGGCGACAAAACAATTTGAATCTTATGTTTATTCAGATAGAGTTGCAAATGTTTTTAAGTTTTTTGTTAATATTGCAAAGTTCGTGGTTTAACACGTAGATTTTGAAATGTGACGTCACGAAATTTAGGACCCCTCCCAACCCTTTGTCACACAATGTCACACTTCGTCGACCCCCCTCCCTCCCGCTTAACGTGTGACGTAATTTATGGATGGCCCCTTAATCAATTGCCGCTGAAGATGATGCCGTACTTCTATCTGAAGAGGCGTCGTCTGATACTTCAGTAGAAATATCGGTTGATAGAACAGTAGAAACATCTGTTGCTATGTATGTAGAATACTTGGTCTCTTCTAGGTTGTCAGTAGCTTATTTCACATTGTTATCACCAAAATCGTCGATTGATGTAACAGTAGAAGTATAGGGTGATGCGAAAAGGGACGTTTCGGTTGACGAGATGTTAGAAGTGGTAGTGGATTTTGTGGTTTCTATGGTGTTCTTAGTAGTAGTTGATTTTACATTATCATTTTCAAAGACGCCAGTTGATGTAACAGGGGTAGTAGAAGATTTTACAATTTCATCCATTTTGGCACCCGATTCAGCGTTATTTTGAGCTTCAGTGATTAAATCTTTATCGTTATTTCTCGTATAAGTCGCACTTTTATTGGTTATTGACTCATTAATAATTGATTCGTCTGTTGAAGTTAGTTCTTGAATTGACTCATCTTTATCTATTTCATCTTCATCTGTTGGAAGATTTAGGTTTTTGGATATAGAATTTGTTGTCTTCCCTTTATCTGCAACTGATTAAATATCGTTATTCTGCAATATTAATTTGAAATCATTTTGTCGATTATTTATTTACCCACTACAAACTACCTGAAATTAATGAGGGAAAAAAAAAAAACACTCCCGCCGGAAATCGAACCCGGGACCTTTGACTTTACGCACCAATGTTCTGACCACTAAACTACGAGAGGTGACAACAGCAACTACGACCAACTGACCTACAAGGTTAACGATCCGTCGATTTTTATTAACTTAATTATATATATATTAATATATGAAATCCTAGGTGTTGTATCAATATGTGGCGGATATATGGGTGGCGGATATGTTGGTGGTGTCCAAATATGGGGGGGGGGATATGGTGGTGGTGCTAACGGTGGTGGAAGAGCAAAATGCGTTGTAAAAGAGGATGTTGGTGGTGGTGTCGGACTAGTAGTAAAGAAAGGTGGCAATGATGGTGTAGAAAAGGGGGGTGTCGGAGTTAAGGGTGGGTTACTTGTTGTTAGTGGCGTATAAGGAGGTAATGTGGGAGGCGGTGTAAAGGTCGGTGGATATGGTGGAGAGAAAGGGGTGGTGGCGGTGATGGGGGTGTAAATGTAGAAGGCGGTGTGGGTGGTGGAGTAGAAGGGACAGCTGTAGATGCTGACGGAGAAATAATGTAGGAGGTGATGGTGTGAATAATGGTGGAGTTGGCTGCGATGGAAAGGTAATTGTTAGTTGCGAAGGTGGAGATCGTCTAGTCGTTGGTCTTGTTGGTGGTAGTGAAGGCTGCCACAATGGGTAGTTTCTTAACATTTTCCACACCCCATTCCTCTAATAATTGTTATAAAGTGCAATTTATTACCCATGAACCACTCCGTGTCCTTGTTCTTATTTTTCTTCTTTGTTATGCGTAATCGAAAGACTGTACGTCTGTTTGATTTCTCCCGCCGTATTATCTTTTCATCATAAAGCCTTCTGTTGATGTTAAAATGCTTTGTTTTTCCTTTAAGATGTTTTGATTTCTTTTTGAAGTGTTTTAATTTCCCTTTGAAACGTAAATTAGATGATCCGCTTGTTCTTCGTGAGTTACAACGTTGGTTCGATTGAGATCTTAAATGAACGTTAATTTTAACTTCAAGATTGTGTCTCCTTGTTCTTGAGATAACGTGTTTGACGCTGTTGATCGTTGAAGTGGAAATTAAATTTCAGATAAATTGTGAACTTTATGTTTAAACCATATATGGTGTACTTGGGACGATATTGGATAAATAACCAAAATTTGTGCTAAAAAGACCTAAAATCAAATAAAAAACAGTGGTTTTTAATAATATAATTGTACAAACAACAATATGCATTTTAAAATATTTTAAACATTCAAAAGCTGACTAAGTAACATATAATTGAAACATTATAAAAAACTGTAGTTGTCTGTTGTTAACGCACAAAAACAGATAGCAATCTAGCAACAATGAATATTGTAATATATGTAATTCTGTAATTTACCTGGCCATTGATTAAAATCATTCGAGTAGCATCGTTCGGATAAGAAAATTGCCCTCGAAGTACAATGATCAGTTATTTTTGCTCTAAAGCAATGAGTTTTGTTTCTAAGAAGGGTTACCATATTTCATATTGACAAATGAACAAAGCTTACTTTTTTATGTTTTTTTTTGTTGAACAACCAGGGATAACAACGTTGTTCTGCATTATCTTAAAATTTTATTAAGTAGTTTTTCTCATAATTTATTTGGGATAAATGTTTTAAGTTTTACTTTCTTTCACTTTTTTCAACATAAAACTTTTTAAAGAACGAAAAAGGTATGGTTACATTAGGTCGATCAATATTTTTTGTCGTTTTTTTGTGTTAATATTTCAGAATTCATTAATATCGGCATACTCGAGAAGCAGACAATGAAATAGTTAAATATATATGTATGTATATGTGCAAGATCACTTTTGACAAGTTACAGTTGTAAATTCTATAACCACAGGATTATTACTGAACACTAAACTGAAGTTAAAGTAGCGATATGATGTTACGCTTATGAATAATCAGTCCGTGTAGTTATTAACACTAAAGTAAATACATTTACAAAAAGTAATAAATGTCTAATATTATCTAACCGTTAAAATTATATTTGTAAACTGCTAAGTTTGCACAAAAGTCCATATACTTACCGTTTGCCTGATGTCAAACCAATTTCTGGGTCAGCTTTTAAAAAGATGACTGTTAACATTAGACCAAGAAAAACCCAACTCACTGCAATAGCGATACTAACTTATGTATTTGATTTCGTGTTTAATTATTTTATTATAGCATTTCTAACAAAATTCTTTCTAACAAAACAAAGTAGTTGTTTTCTAGTAATAATCAAGCGTAATAGAGAAACCACTAATTAATTTTTTCAATCCACGATATATTTCTTCTTTTTTATTCTTTATTCTCATCATTAAAAGGTCGTTAGTCCTAAGACTGGTTGGACACGCACCTCCAATCTTTCCTATCTTGCGCTAATCTTCGTATTTCCCTAAAGCTAGAGCAACCCATATTCTTAACTATTTGCGAACAGTAATCTAGGTCTACCTCTACTTCTCCTGACTTTTGTTTTTGCCTCTAATATGTCTCTGACAAGATTTTCTTGCCTGAGAAGGTGTCCTACTAACCTATCTCGCCTATTTCTTATTGACTTCCATAGAATCCTCATCATTCGCCTGTAACACCACATTTCGAACGCTTCTAACCTTTTCATTTGGCACCCGTACAGCTCCGTACTTCAAACACACACCTTTAACAACCTTTTTCGAATTCCTAAATTAACTGTTCGCGAGCATAGAAATGACTTCTTTTTATTGAAAGCGACTCGATCCTGCGCTACAACTATTTTAGTTTTATAATGACCGAAATATTTCTCAGAAAAAATTTCTTTCGTGCAATTTATTAAATATAGTTTATTAAAAATGTTACTGCCAAAAAAAGTTGTTTCTTATCATTTGCTTAAACAATCGTGATTTAACCGGGCTACAGGCTGAAAATCTACATCGTTATATTCAGGAAAATTTTCCGAGGAAAATTGCATATAACGTTAGTTAGTATTGTGGCCGCGCATACCTGTTCGCCATAACGTATTTAAATATTTCTGTATGTATTTCTATTTCTGTTATTTTTGCTATGTAAATATCTTTTCAGACGATATAGCAGTAGGAGGACCTAGAGATACCTTTAAATAAAATGGAAGCTGTACTGACAGATCAGTACTGTATGAAAATAAATGAAAGTAAAACTAAAATACTGGCATGCAAGGGAAGAAAAAGTAGCGAAAGAGCGAATATAAAGATAGGAGACGAAAAATTAGAAGAAGTGGCTGATTTTAGGTATCTAGGAAGTCACATAAGTCAGGACGGAAGGAGTAGTAGGGATATAAAGCAGAGGATAGCGCAGGGTCGTAATAAAAAGAAGTCACTTCTATGTTCGCGAACGATTACTTTAGAAATTCGAAAAAGGTTGTTAAAGGTGTGTTTGGAGCGCGGCGTTGTACGGGTGCAAAACATGAACAGTGGGCGCTGCGGAAAAGAAAAGGTTAGAAGCGTTCGAAATGTGGTGTTATAGGTGAATGATGAGGATAACGTAAGTAGAAAAGATTAGAAATGAAGAGGTATTAGAAAGAATAGGGAAACAGAGGATTCTGTGGAAGTCAAAAAGAAAAAATAGGCGAGGTAGGTTGGTAGGACACCTTCTCAGGCATGAAGGTCTAGTCAGAGACATATTAGATTACTGTTCGCAAATAGTTAAGGATGTGGGCTGTTCTAGTTTTAGGGAAATGCGAAGTTCAGCTCAGGATAGGTAAGAGTGCAGGTACGTGTCCAAGCAGTCTTAGGACTGACGACCTTATGACGATCAGAATTTTTTAAATTGAAATTTTTAGCGTTAGCTCTCAATTTTTTCTATACATACAATGAGTATTGTGACATAGAAGATCAGCTAATACGTAAAGTTGAGCTTGAATCAATTTCCAAATTATACGTACCTATTACATATTTGCTATATCAACATTATTGACTATTACAAGTATAGATCTAGTTCTATTAGGAAAACATTCACCTATATGCCTTTCACATTATTGGAAATAATCTTAGTCTTAATGTTGCTGAAAATGTTTTAACGGAAGTTGAATCATAATTACTATAACCGAGAAGACACTCGTTTTCATGCTCAGGTGTATTAAGAATAATTAGATACTTTTTTTCTTGTATGTTGTACCCTTTGTAAAAGCTTTTAATAACCATATTATTGAAAACCAAAAACGTACCGAGTTAGTGTGAACCTTTGTCTGTTACCATACAAAACAATCAGGTATTTATCTCGCAAATGTTTAGAATAGAAACCCATGTTTTCGGAAAAATTCACATTAGGAATGAGCAGTCTATTGTGGTCAATCACCTTAATAAATGATACCTAATCCTTTTCTGTTTACCGATTGTATCCGCGAATAATGAAATTTTTAGCCGCGAATACAGGAACTGGGTTGCAATTTTTTCATCCGCGAATAATGAAAACGCGAACAAGGAAACCGTGAATATCTTTTTTCATTAATGTTAGTTGTCACTCAAGATGTACTTGCATCTGCAGAAGCGTCGCCTAATATTTTAGTAACATCGGCTGGTACAACAGTAGAAACATCGGCTGCTGCGCCCTTACATGCGTCGCCTGTTTCAACAGAAGTTTTAATTGATGAAACGGTGGACGTGATAGTAGATTTGATCACTTCTGTATTGTTCTTAACAATAGCTGATGTGGCATAATCAGTTGTACAGACATCGAGTGTTAACACTCCGCCACTATTTTTCTTTTCTTTATTGTTGTAGTTTCCCTGGTTGTTGATGTAAATTCATTAGTAAATGATTCGTTTGTCGAAGTTATGTCCTCTATTGGTTGTTCCTCTTTCTCATCATAGGTTAGTCTTGATTTAGCATCCTTACATCGTGCATTTCTCTTTAGATTATTGAAAACATTTGGTATGTGATAAGGTGGTACCCCTGAAAACGGGTGTGTCGGTGATCCTACCGGGGAAAAAATTTGGGATGGCCAACCAGATGGCGCTGTAAACGGATGTGTGTGTGATTCCAACGGAGGACAAATTTGGGGTGGGAAATTAGGTGGCCATGAAGGATAAATGTGGCGTGGCCAATCAGGAGATGGAAGAAGGGGTGATGAAGGTGGATGCGCCGGCGTAGGTGGTGGTGGTTGTTGCGGTGGTGGTGGTAGTAGTGTAGGCGGAGTAAGGGGAGTTGGTGGTGGTGCTGACGTCGACGATGGAGTGGGTGGTGGCGGCGGTGGTGGTGGTAGTGAACGCAGATAAAGGGAAAGTGATGTTAGTGGTGGCAATAACGTCGGCAGTAGATGGGGAGGGAGTGGTTGTGGTATCGTTGGCGATGGAGGGGAATAGGATGGTGGTGACGGTAGAGGGTGTGGTGGTGGTGGTGGCAGTTGATATGGTAGCGGAGTTGGTGGTGGTAGGAGGGGGCGATGGCAGTAGTTGGGGATATATCGATGACGACGGTAGTGATGGAAAGGGAAGGAGTAGTGGTGGCGGTGGCTGGGTAGGTGTCGATGTTGGCGACGGTGATGAGGCGGGAGGGGGTGGTGCTGGCGGTGATTAGGCAGGTGTAGATGTCGGCGGCGATGATGGAGGAGGAGGGGGTGGCGGTATAGGAGGAGGGGGCAGCGGTATAGGAGGAGGTGGTGGAGAAGGAGGAGAAGGAGGCGTTCGTGTACATTTTCCACATGAAAATGAATATACATTTTTTTTCCAATTCTTCAGTAATTTTTTATAATTTTTTTTTCATCATGAAAACAATTAATGCAACGTCTTTTTGATTTTGTCCATCGCACTTTTTTTGTATAAGGTGTTCTGTTGATTTTGAAATATTTCTCTTTTAAATGCACCTTAGGTGACCTTATGGGACTTTTTTGTGATAGTCTACATGTTTTTCGTCGGTTACACCAATGCTTCAGTTGGCATCCTATATGAACATTAGTGTTAATATTAGGGTTGTGTTGCTTTAATCTTGGGACAGCGTGTTTGATCAAGGCGGCAAATCCTTGACGTGGAAATGGAAGTTCTGGTAAATTTTCATTTTTGTCATTAAACCAAGTACAAGCTATTGGTATTTTAAGTAACTGTATTATTCCTACTATTA